TCACAGCGCGGTGATCTCGCCTCCCCCCATCCCTCCCCACAGCGGACTCCGCCGTCCCCTGCCCCGCGGTGCGGACAGGCGGCCCGTACCCGGTGAGGGCTCAAATCCACATGTGTCCAGACCGCTCGGTCCTGCGCCAGCTGCTGCCACCGCCGGCAGACCCTGCGGGGAGGCGATCGGCCGTCAGCGCCGGGGCGGGGAAGCGGCAGGCGGCCGGTCCCGCCCGGGGTGACCCTACCTGGCCGCTCGCAGGCGGTCCCGCAGCGGCAGCAGCGCCAAGACCTGCACCAGCACCGAGTCGGGCAGCGGCGGCCGCGCCGCCATGGCGGCCGTTACAACAACACAGCCGGGCCGCGGCCCCGGCAACCACCGGTAAACCCCGGGAGCTCCGCTGGCCTCGGGACGTCCCTATTTAACCCCCTTCCTTACCGACAGCTCCCTCCCGGTGCCTCTTCGTTCCTCCGCGTTGAGCCCCGGTGGCTCATCCGGTCTCGCCCATCCCACCCCATGACAGCCTCTTATCCTGTCACCCCCTCACCACCCCACCCGCGGTGCCTCTTCTTTCCTGGCACTCCTCCTCTTGGTGTCTCTTGGAGGAGAAATAGTATAGCACTGACCATTCCTGGTCCAGTCACTCCCCCTGATATGTTGTTTTGAATGCCCTTCTAATGTTCACGTGGCACCAGCTCACATAATTTTTTCTGAATATCCAGCAGGCCATTACAGGATGAGAACAGCTGTCCTGACTCTCAGAAAAGAGCCTGGAATATCTGCAGTGCATAGTTGCAACCCTGAGAGAAGAGAATACAAAGTAATAAATTCAACGCTGACCTCAGGAGTATGCTAGAGCAGGTAAAATATGCTGTCCCTACCTCTGCAAAGTTTCCTTGTTCTCTGGAACACGACACATTTCACCAGACAGCACTTTGGAGTTCTCCTTTCCTGTCCCTCTCGCCCCTGTGGACACACACTGTTGTATTTTCTCTTTATTCTGCCCATGGCCTTGACAAGTGCCCCTTCACACTGATGCCAACTTCCTTGGCCCAGTGGCCCCAGACACACACTTGTCTCTCTTGTAGCCCACACCGAGTGCTTTTTGCCCACAACTAATGGTGTCTGAGCAGAGATCTCCTTGTCCTGACGTCCAGAAGTAATTTTGCTCCATTTGGTGGCAGGTTTCTGTGATCTTTTTTCACATCCAATGTGTAGGTGGAAGAGGAAGGGAGAAGCCTGAGGAGACTTCTCTAAAAGTCTGACCAGCAGATGAGCTGCTTCTGTACAGGTGTGTTATAGATGGGTAATGCAATGGTTGGCTCTCACAATTACGGGATGAATATTATGTGTATGTTAAGAGAAGTTTTTACAGATATATAGTTATGTTATTTTGGTATGTTCTCCCTATAGTCCTATTGCTGTGTATAAAAATGCTCGCTTGCGGTGAGAGACTTCTCCTGGGTCAAGCTGTTCAGGTATAAGCAATTTATTATAAGGGTAAAGAGAGGGGAGACCTGTGTCCACCACCAGCCTCGGCGTCCACGTGGTCCGGGGAAGGGGAGAGAGCAGGGAGAGCAGGGGAGGAGAGGTTAGAAAAGGGGAGGGAGGGCATAAGAGCAACAGAGGGAAAGAGGGAATAAAACAGGGAGGCTTATGAGAGAGGGGGAAGACAAGAGAGGGATAAGAGGGGAAAAAACAAGAGGGTAAGAGTAAGAGAGGGAAAGAGTGGAAGAGGTAAGAGAGGGGGAGAGGGGAGCTGAGAGAGGGGTAAAGGGGTAAGAGAGAAGAGCCAAGAGGTATGAGAGAGGTTAAGAGAGAAAAGCTAAGAGAGCGAAGTTCTTGTTACAATCCAATATATCTTTTTCTATAGTGAATATTCTAATTCTTAGTAACCAATCACCATGAGACACACCCACTAAAGAATTTACATACAGCCTATGCGCTTCCCTATATTAACATACAATGTTGCATTTTAGACTCTACAAAGCTTTACAAGTTCTTTCCTTGCTTCTTGACCTTTGGACTTTCTATCAGCAGAAGGACATTGTTTTATCAACAGGGATTCTCCTCTAGCTGGCTAGGCTATTGTTCTTTGGTTAACCAGCACTCAGTATCCTATGACTCAAAGCAGGCTTTCATTTCTACTTTGATTCTAGCCTTCATATTTTCAGAATCTTCTGCCAAACAATCACACTCATAAGGTTTCCCTGTTTTACCCGCCCCAACAAGTCCTCTTTCCGTTCCCTCTTATATTGTTGTCACTGCTTGAGGCATTTGGGAAGGGCAGGCTTGTTACCAGGAGGCACAGCATGGCAACACCTGACCTCCAGTCAAGTTGTAGCAAAGTGATCTCCCCCGATGGACGGCACTGACAAGACTTTGGGTGGGACCAGGGTATAAAAAGCAGAGCACCCATTTTGTAGATGAGCACTTGGCGGTTCAGTTCCATGCTTCCAGTGCTGCACATTTTCCTTATTTAATCGTTTGTTGTGTTTTGTTAAGGTTTAATAAACTTTGGAAATTTTAAAAGTGAGTATCGGTTCTCACAGGTGTGAACAGAATCTTCCCTGGTGGGAGGAGGCTCTGGCCATGCAGTTGTAGTGGCAGCAGCAGCAATCACCAGACTTGTCCTTGTACTTTCATGGCTTTGGTAACACCCTGGTCTGCCTGAGGAGATGAATCTTCACAAGCATCAGGGCAGAATAGATGTAAGAGTTATGTCAGTCAACTACAGGATGCTGAGTTCTGGCAAGTGAGCCAAGACTGCTGCTGAAGCCACCAACGTTGAGCTGAAGGCTGTTTTCACCAGGAAGCCTCAGAATCTGAAGTTCATTTGTGACAGAAAGCAAATTGAACTCCTTCCCCTTGGCACTCATGGCTGCCTGTGCTGTGGACCTACTTCTGCAGTTCAGCAGTGTGTTGGTTTTGCATGGCCTGGTTCTTGGTAGCTGGGGTGCCACAGAGGTGGCTTCTGTGAGAAGCTGCTGGAAGCTTCCACCATGTCCAGCAGAGCCAGTCCCTGATGGCTCTGAGGATGGACATGCCACTGGCCAAGGGTGGGCCAGCTGGAGATGTTGGTAACGCCTCTGTGATAACAGATTCAAGAAGAAAATCAGAACAAAGGGGACCCACTGTTAGTTCCAGGCAGAGAAGAGGACGAGGTGAGAATATGTGAGGGAAACAACGTGGAGACACCAAGGTCAGCAGAGAAGGAGGGGCAGGAGGTGCTCCAGGCACCAGAGCTGAGATTCCTCTGCAGCCGTGGTGAGACCATGGTGAAGCAGCTGTGCCCCTGCAGCCTGTGGGGATCCATGGGGGATGCAGAGATCCCCCCACAGCCCCTGGGGATCCATGGGGGATGCAGAGATCCCCCCACAGCCCCTGGGGATCCATGGGGGATGCAGAGATCCCCCCACAGCCCCTGGGGATCCATGGGGGATGCAGAGATCCCCCCACAGCCCCTGGGGATCCATGGGGGATGCAGAGATCCCCCCACAGCCCCTGGGGATCCATGGGGGATGCAGAGATCCCCCCACAGCCCCTGGGGATCCATGGGGGATGCAGAGATCCCCCCACAGCCCCTGGTGGAGATGCCCAGACTGGAATGGGTGGATGCCTGGAGGAGGCTGTGATCCAGTGAAGACCCAGTGGAGAGAGGGCCCTGCTTCCAGGCTGGAGCAGCCTGTCCTTGGAGGGCTGCACCCCATGGAAGAGTGACCCACGCTGCAGCAGTTCTGGGAGGACTGCTGCTCATGAGATTGGAACCACACTGGAGAAGTTCACAGAGAGCTGTCTCCTGTGGGAGGCACCCCACAGTCTCAGTCTCACAGGGGGAGAGGGAAGGCTCCTCTCTCTGAGCAGTGGCAGAAGACCCTATGCTCAGATAGGTAAACCAGAGTAAATCCAAATGGGAGAAGTGGCCATGTGCTGCTAAGAACATCTGCCAGGAAGTGGTAGGTCAAGTTCCAGATCTGCAGTTTCCCAGACCCAGAGGAGTGCCCTAACAGCTGGAAAACACTTTCTCAGTTCACTTTATCAACACTTTCATTCATTATGTGTCAGTGCCTTGGGGGTGCTTATGGCACAGACAGAGTCAGTGGTGCCTGGGCTCATTTCTGAGCTCTCTGAACATGTGCTACAGACTACAGACTGAAGAGTTAGGATACAGTCAGGCTTGGGTCTGCCCTTCCTCTTTCTTCTGATTTATTAATATAAAAATGGTTGTTTAATTACAGTTTTCAGCATTCTGAGAGTTGAAAAATTCTGGTTTAGCATTAAAGTATATGAATTGAAAATGGCAGTGAAGGAAGTGATAAACCTTTATATAATCAGGATGAGCATGAGGAAAAGGAGAAATCCCACCTAATTCTAGTAAAATTGGGGAATGTGAATGTTGGGAGTTTCTAAAGATGCTTTAGAGTCTATGAATGGAAAACTGAAATTTCCCTTTCATGTGGCAGAATATCTGTAACTAGTATTGTATTCCAAATAAAAGTCAGAGGATTAAAATTGATAAAAATATATTAATGTATTCCTATTTTATTACCAACTTGAATAAAATTTCAGGTTATATAGGTGTGTTGGTTTTGGCTGGAGTAGAGTTAATTTTCTTCCAGGCACTAGCTGGCATGAATGTGTTTTGGATTTGTGCTGAACACAGGGCTGCTAATTAGAAATGTTTTTGTTATTGTTGAACAGAATTTTCACAGAGCCAAAGCCTTCCCTGCCCCTTATATTGCCACGCTGGGGAGAGTGCTGGGAGTGCACGGGGAGCTGGAAGGGGAAGCACCCAGGGCAGGTGACCCCAAATGACCCAAGGGATATTCCAGACCTTATGGCATCATGCTCAGCATATAAAGCTGGATGGAAGAAGGAGGAAGACAGGGATGTGTGGAATGATGCTGTTTATCTTCCCAAGTCACTGTTCCAGGTTGTCTTCCACTGCTCCACATTGTTCCACGTTATTTTATTCTTGTCCAGATTTAAGGCAAGCATAGAGTGTGTAGTGAAATGTTTTTGTTTTGTGTGTTTATGTGTTTATGTTTTTGTGTGTTTATGGCCTCAGCAGTCTCCAGTACTAATTACATAGGACTGGTGTGTAACATGGGCTGTGCTTTTCTCCTTTCTTTCTGTAAAAGTTGGCACCAGCTTTAACTCTCTGTTATAACAGATTTGTTGACACTAGTGATTTTTACAGAATAGTTCAAAAGAGAAATACATTACCGAAACAAGCTTTAAGGTTCTTAGAAGGGTGGCTCATATGATGCCCAAAGAATAGGCTGGAAATAAATCCCCACAGACTGGTGTCAGAAGAGAAGGTATTTGTTTAT